TCAAGTAGAATACAGGCATGTAGACTAAAAAAATATTTAACGGACATACATGATGACTCGAGGTATAAACCTGATGTTGTCCTCATTTTTGATAATTTGACCTCGAGCCAGATGACGAAAATGCAATGTCTAAATTCCGCACATTAATAGAACCAATGGCAAGTGTGCAGGCCGACGGACGCTTTTCAAAATTCGATTAGCTAGTACAGCCAGGTGGTAGCTGACATAAGCTGGTTGTTGCGCGAATATTGGGCAACAAGAGGAAGGTCCATGTCAGTTCAAGGGAGATGGACAGAAAACTCTGTCTAACAAGATATTTAAAGTAGATGGAATAACGGCGTCTCGGGATTACTTGGTTCGTATAATTCTTTTTTTAAGCGTTATGGAGATGAATGGGGCGTTTACGGTTTGAGCATTTACGAGAGGGTTGAGAGCATACACGCAGAAATACCCCGAAGTGATGCAATTACCAGAAATGTTGCGTATAAAACTGAAACAGGTCTTTTAGGTATGAGACAGAGAGGTGAAACTTATTGCCTTGATTTGCCCAAGCAAAGATTAGAAAATAAGTACGCTTTGATAAACACCTAAAAATTGTGTTAAAAGATTTAATAAAGCTGTTTAGAACTAGCGCGCTTTAGAGGTTCCCATTTTTTTCATTTTGTTAAGTGTTGGAGGCAAAACAGTCTAAAAGTAAACAATATTTATTTCGAACGAAATGGGCCGAAACTAACAGCGGCTGAATTCTCTTGAATAGAATGTATAAAAGTAAGAAAAGGTAACGATTTCGATCTTCCGAGGTCGTTAAAGGGCCCGTTGTCAACTCATCAAGCAAGAGCAAGACATTTGACTTTATTTGTAAGGTTGAATAACTACCTTGAAAGACAGTTCCAAACCGTCTCGAGACACTAGAAGACACGAACTGTGGCTAACTTTTCTTGGATTACTGCTAAATAAATATTGCGCGGGAAGAGAGGTTTGAGAAGGATAGCTTACGCCAATATGAGCAGCCATTTTGTCGGTGCAGACTTCAGCGAAGTCTCGCGCAATCAGGCCAAAATAGATACCATAAAGCATGGCAAAACCACCGTGCACGAAGGCCACTTCTGGTGGAATGAGGTCCGGCAGGAATATAGCTAGCAGGATAACCACATAGCCTCCAACTGACAGGGTGTAGAAAATCTTGTGCAGCAGAAGAAACCACCAGTAAACACGCCTAAAAAACGACATAAATAAACGTTCAAGCCTCTAGACAATCGAAGGCATTTTCGTATGCTGGCAAGCAGATAATGTTATGCGCATACACATTTTTATTTGATGTTCTACGGACTTAAATCAAAGTGAAGAGGCAGCCCTTCCGTGTTAAGTGAAAGTTCCTCGTTAATTCATACATGCTAAACAGCTACCCTTACTTTTTGATAGTAGTTGCTTTCCTTAATTCTGTGAACAGTCGGCCTTTGCATCCATGGTAAATTGTGGGAAATCATGTGCAAGTAAATAAGTTCATTCGAAAAAGACACTAAAAGCAAGGGTCCGCCACATAGACAATCTTGGCCTGAGTCATGAACGCCTACACGTAAGACAATGGACACCGTCGCACGCACTAGTTAGTCCACGCGGACCAAAATGCCTAGGCCGATCGTAGGGCTGGTTCAGTAGAGGGGCATCAACCAAGAAATTCCTTGAAGAGCTGGTTCCTTTTGTTTTTGTGTATCCCATGCCATCACTAGTGCAACACACAATTGCATCGCACAGATGCGTAACATGAAAGTACGAACTCTAGCACGCTTGACTTCTTAGTAAAATGAGGATAGCTGTCGTGTAGCTTTGAGCTACTAATCCTTAGTAAATCCTCACTACTTTGGCTGCGTAGAAACGAGACTAAACCGACCAAAGTTAGGTTCGACCCATTTGCGCCTGGGCTACAGCTTCCGTTTCATATCTCTCAAGCGTCCGTCGCCAGGCTGACCCTGAGAATGAAGCATCACTGAGAAGCCGTGGGCGTAATCGCGTAACTTAGTAATCTGCACCGACAGCTACGGGTTTGTGCACAAAACAAGACTGAAACTCCGAATAGCATACCACCTACTTGTCAGTTCAAGTGGAGGATATCTTCTCTGTCTTCATAAATTCGGATTTCGCAGCAGTCAATGGTGAGTTTCGGTTCTTCGATGTCTGACACAAACCAGCAAATAACTAATTCAACTGGTATCACCGGTAACGGGAACTCACTATTTATGAAACCATACTTCCACTGGACGAACAAATTGAACAGACAAATAGCCAGTTAGAAAAGATTAGGCTTCTTTTCTGTGTTTCTACTAATTATAATGGAAAAATATAACAGACACCATGATGATGTCTAAAGGGACCATATGACAACTTAGTTGACCAAACAAACAAAAAACCCATTTTTTCTTGGGTTTCTTGAGTGACCTAGTTTCGATAAACATATGTGCCAGAAACCTACGCTGTTTAAGCTGATATTTGTTAGGGGTATTGTTGAGGCCGTTATCTTCAGTTAGAGAGTAATCCGTGGACAGCTCGTCTGTCGGTTAATAAAGAAAACAGCACATAGGTGAAAGGGTAGATACCTTGGTGTAGATGTGCTGATGCGAGGTCGCGAACTTAGATACACCATAACCCCGGTCATAAGTGAGAAAAGACTCCAAACGATGACGAAGCGTACGTAAACCATATATATGCTATATATCAGCGGAAAGACCCACATACCAAGAAGCGTGGCCCTATGGTATGTCTTATAGTGATATTTCTTCCAGGCCATCAAGGCAAACTGGGCGGCAAAGGAAGAGAACACTGCTATAAGGAACATTTCCAAGTGCATTGTCTCGTGCCCACGATGTTCTTCGTGTACCTTCATGTGTCTAAGTCTCGCGACCTCTTCTGCAGGCAAATTCGTAAGATTGTAAGTCTAAACGTGCACGTGTTTTGATACAAAAAGAAACCTACGACATTATTGATGGCCAACTCCATCTCCGTGCCACCTGCGCGGAAAATCGCAGTGCCCGCGTCCTACGTATTTATAAGATCTGGTGTAATTAAACGAAGATTACTCATGAGTCCTGTTCATCCTACATTGCAAGTTGGTTCATTTAAACTAGGCTTTTACAATAGTAAATTATTCTTCTGAAAACCGTAAGCATGATAATTTACTTAAACTTCCACGTAACAACAAGCCCGAATATTCAATTCCATCCTGCATTCATTCTACTAAATATAAAGAAATAAAGTTGAACCGTATCATCATGGTTAGTACCCGAAATTCGGTTGAGAAACAAACTCAATACAAGGAAGATAGCACCCCCCGCTCATCCTCACATTGACGTCTGTCCTACATCCTCGGTCCTTCTGAACTTTCTTTCCTGTGACATAAGTTCAGATTGACCTGTTTTTAAACATTAAGGCCTAAATAACGGTTGTCCATAG